TGCACAACTGGCTAACGCAGAGACACTTCTGTAAGTCGTTGGCCAGCTCTCTTTTCCCCTCTCCCTAACTCAGCCAGTGCCGTGTGTGACCTCTGGATGGCCCCACGGGGGGCGGGGACACTCTTACCAGCCCAAATCCCTCACCTTAACCTCAGTACTCACCGTGACTCACTGGAAACCTCAATTAGAAAAGCCTCAAGCAGAAGATCAGTCAAACCTAAAGAAAAAGGAAACTTAAAGATGCCACTCTGTAAAGCCTGATGAAGGACAAATAGTTCTCCGAAACGTTGCAACAAGGCAGAGTGAAGCAGGACCAAATAGGCCTGGATTAATAGGAAATTCATCGTAAGACATCCAAGTAGGATGCAGAAATTACAAGGATTCGTGAAGTCCAATTTTTGACCAAATGCAAAGGTAATGCACTTTTGTTTTTTACCAGGGAAATGTGGGAAATGCTTAAACATCAACAAGAGGGAGTGTTTTTGCCTTTCTGGGGTCGCTGGAGGCGCATCACAGGACAGTGCACCAGACTGGCTAACGCAGAGCTTTGTAAGTCGTTGGCCAGCTCTTTTTCCCCTCCCCTAACTCAGCCAGTGCCGTGTGTGACCTCTGGATGGCCCCACGGGGGCGGGACACTCTTACCCAGCCCAAATCCCTCACCTTAACCTCAGTACTCACCGTGACTCACTGGAAACCTCAATTAGAAAAGCCTCAAGCAGAAGATCAGTCAAACCTAAAGAAAAAGGAAACTTAAAGATGCCACTCTGTAAAGCCTGATGAAGGACAAATAGTTCTCCGAAACGTTGCAACAAGGCAGAGTGAAGCAGGACCAAATAGGCCTGGATTAATAGGAAAATCATCGTAAGACATCCAAGTAGGATGCAGAAATTACAAGGATTCGTGAAGTCCAATTTTTGACAAATGCAAAGGTAATGCACTTTTGTTTTTTACCATGGGAAATGGGAAATGCTTAAAACAAACAAGCAGGGAGTGTTTTTGCCTTTCTGGGGTCGCTGGAGGCGCATCACAGGACAGTGCACCAGACTGGCTAACGCAGAGCTTTGTAAGTCGTTGGCCAGCTCTTTTTCCCCTCTCCCTAACTCAGCCAGTGCCGTGTGTGACCTCTGGATGGCCCCACGGGGGGCGGGGACACTCTTACCCAGCCCAAATCCCTCACCTTAACCTCAGTACTCACCGTGACTCACTGGAAACCTCAATTAGAAAAGCCTCAAGCAGAAGATCAGTCAAACCTAAAGAAAAAGGAAACTTAAAGATGCCACTCTGTAAAGCCTGATGAAGGACAAATAGTTCTCCGAAACGTTGCAACAAGGCAGAGTGAAGCAGGACCAAATAGGCCTGGATTAATAGGAAAATTCATCGTAAGACATCCAAGTAGGATGCAGAAATTACAAGGATTCGTGAAGTCCAATTTTTTGACAAATGCAAAGGTAATGCACTTTTGTTTTTTACCAGGGGAAATGTGGGAAATGCTTAAAACATCAAACAAGCAGGGAGTGTTTTGCCTTTCTGGGGTCGCTGGAGGCGCATCACAGGACAGTGCACCAGACTGGCTAACGCAGAGCTTTGTAAGTCGTTGGCCAGCTCTTTTTCCCCTCTCCCTAACTCAGCCAGTGCCGTGTGTGACTCTGGATGGCCCCACGGGGGGCGGGGACACTCTTACCCAGCCCAAATCCCTCACCTTAACCTCAGTACTCACCGTGACTCACTGGAAACCTCAATTAGAAAGCCTCAAGCAGAAACAGTCAACCTAAAGAAAAAGGAAACTTAAAGATGCCACTCTGTACCTGATTAAGCAAATAGTTCTCCGAAACGTTGCAACAAGGCAGAGTGAAGCAGGACCAAATAGGCCTGGATTAATAGGAAAATTCATCGTAAGACATCCATAGGATGCAGAAATTACAGGATTCGTGAAGTCCATTTTTTGAACAATGCAAAGGTAATGCACTTTTGTTTTTTACCAGGGAAATGTGGGAAATGCTTAAACATCAACAACAGGGAGTGTTTTTGCCTTTCTGGGGTCGCTGGAGGCGCATCACAGACAGTGCACCAACTGGCTAACGCAGAGCTTTGTAAGTCGTTGGCCAGCTCTTTTTCCCCTCTCCCTAACTCAGCCAGTGCCGTGTGTGACCTCTGGATGGCCCCACGGGGGGCGGGGACACTCTTACCCAGCCCAATCCCTCACCTTAACCTCAGTACTCACCGTGACTCACTGGAAACCTCAATTAGAAAAGCCTCAAGCAGAAGATCAGTCAAACCTAAAGAAAAAGGAAACTTAAATGCCCACTCTGTAAAGCCTATGAAGGACAAATAGTTCTCCGAAACGTTGCAACAAGGCAGAGTGAAGCAGGACCAAATAGGCCTGGATTAATAGGAAATTCATCGTAAGACATCCAAGTAGGATGCAGAAATTACAAGGATTCGTGAAGTCCAATTTTTGAACACATGCAAGGTAATGCACTTTTGTTTTTTACCATGGGAAATGTGGGAAATGCTTAAACATCAAACAAGCAGGGGTGTTTTTGCCTTTCTGGGGTCGCTGGAGGCGCATCACAGGACAGTGCACCAGACTGGCTAACGCAGAGCTTTGTAAGTCGTTGGCCAGCTCTTTTTCCCCTCTCCCTAACTCAGCCAGTGCCGTGTGTGACCTCTGGATGGCCCCACGGGGGGCGGGGACACTCTTACCCAGCCCAAATCCCTCACCTTAACCTCAGTACTCACCGTGACTCACTGGAAACCTCAATTAGAAAAGCCTCAAGCAGAAGATCAGTCAAACCTAAAGAAAAAGGAAACTTAAAGATGCCACTCTGTAAAGCCTGATGAAGGACAAATAGTTCTCCGAAACGTTGCAACAAGGCAGAGTGAAGCAGGACCAAATAGGCCTGGATTAATAGGAAAATTCATCGTAAGACATCCAAGTAGGATGCAGAAATTACAAGGATTCGTGAAGTCCAATTTTTTGAACAAATGCAAAGGTAATGCACTTTTGTTTTTTACCAGGGAAATGTGGGAAATGCTTAAACATCAAACAAGCAGGGAGTGTTTTTGCCTTTCTGGGGTCGCTGGAGGCGCATCACAGGACAGTGCACCAGACTGGCTAACGCAGAGCTTTGTAAGTCGTTGGCCAGCTCTTTTTCCCCTCTCCCTAACTCAGCCAGTGCCGTGTGTGACCTCTGGATGGCCCCACGGGGGGCGGGGACACTCTTACCCAGCCCAAATCCCTCACCTTAACCTCAGTACTCACCGTGACTCACTGGAAACCTCAATTAGAAAAGCCTCAAGCAGAAGATCAGTCAAACCTAAAGAAAAAGGAAACTTAAAGATGCCACTCTGTAAAGCCTGATGAAGGACAAATAGTTCTCCGAAACGTTGCAACAAGGCAGAGTGAAGCAGGACCAAATAGGCCTGGATTAATAGGAAAATTCATCGTAAGACATCCAAGTAGGATGCAGAAATTACAAGGATTCGTGAAGTCCAATTTTTTGACAAATGCAAAGGTAATGCACTTTTGTTTTTTACCAGGGGAAATGTGGGAAATGCTTAAAACATCAAACAAGCAGGGAGTGTTTTTGCCTTTCTGGGGTCGCTGGAGGCGCATCACAGGACAGTGCACCAGACTGGCTAACGCAGAGCTTTGTAAGTCGTTGGCCAGCTCTTTTTCCCCTCTCCCTAACTCAGCCAGTGCCGTGTGTGACCTCTGGATGGCCCCACGGGGGGCGGGGACACTCTTACCCAGCCCAAATCCCTCACCTTAACCTCAGTACTCACCGTGACTCACTGGAAACCTCAATTAGAAAAGCCTCAAGCAGAAGATCAGTCAAACCTAAAGAAAAAGGAAACTTAAAGATGCCACTCTGTAAAGCCTGATGAAGGACAAATAGTTCTCCGAAACGTTGCAACAAGGCAGAGTGAAGCAGGACCAAATAGGCCTGGATTAATAGGAAAATTCATCGTAAGACATCCAAGTAGGATGCAGAAATTACAAGGATTCGTGAAGTCCAATTTTTTGAACAAATGCAAAGGTAATGCACTTTTGTTTTTTACCAGGGAAATGTGGGAAATGCTTAAAACATCAAACAAGCAGGGAGTGTTTTTGCCTTTCTGGGGTCGCTGGAGGCGCATCACAGGACAGTGCACCAGACTGGCTAACGCAGAGCTTTGTAAGTCGTTGGCCAGCTCTTTTTCCCCTCTCCCTAACTCAGCCAGTGCCGTGTGTGACCTCTGGATGGCCCCACGGGGGGCGGGGACACTCTTACCCAGCCCAAATCCCTCACCTTAACCTCAGTACTCACCGTGACTCACTGGAAACCTCAATTAGAAAAGCCTCAAGCAGAAGATCAGTCAAACCTAAAGAAAAAGGAAACTTAAAGATGCCACTCTGTAAAGCCTGATGAAGGACAAATAGTTCTCCGAAACGTTGCAACAAGGCAGAGTGAAGCAGGACCAAATAGGCCTGGATTAATAGGAAAATTCAT